ATTAAATATTATTACTGTGGTGCAAGCTTGACGGTCGAGAGAGGAGAAAAAGGAGGCAGCTTCATTGCCCAGAGGAGATCCAGTAATCAGATGGTCTGCAGCCTGAAGAGAACATCAATCTTCTGAATCCAATTCTGAATATACACTTTAGCAGCAACTGTATAGTCTCGCTATAAAATGTTGACAATATTAAGGCAACTGCTAATCTAAAAAGTGTGTGTTTAACAAAGAGAATAAAAGGGAGGGCTGCAGAGATTGAGAAGTGTTAAGAATACTAATCATGATTTTAAAAAAATACTAAAGAAATACATTGGACTGGCGCTAGAATTTTTTTTGTCTCTCTTACTCTAGACCTCTGTGCTCTGTGTTTTTTTGTCTTTTTTTTTTTTAAAGCAGTCTAGCATTCAACCTGCCCCCTTCCTGTTGTGAGAAATACCTATCTCCTTGAGTATACTCTTACAGGGTTCCAAACCAGCCCCCATAGAGAAAGCCAAGGTGTATTAAGGTCGAGATCATTTATGCCCCACCCCTGGTAAGTTATGCTGGCACATAATCAAGGTTCAGACTGTCAGAGGCTCACTCACCTGAATTTTGAGCAAGTGAGGCCAGGACAAGGGGTTGATTGAATGTAATCATGGCAGCAGCATGGTCACACAGTAGCACGGCCAAATTCTCCTACTTCTTGACTCTCTCATTCACGGTCATTTCCAAACCTGATGTCCCAGTCTTCACTATACTTTCCATAGGCCCCCTCTTGGATTTAGAGTCAGAGTTGATCTGTCACTTATAACCCAGAACATCATGATTGAAATCCACCACTATGACATTTCCATGAATATGGGCCTGCAGCCCATATTGGGGAATACCCCGAAGGGGAAAAATATACTTCCAAAAAGCTCATTATTATATAGGGTTCCTATTTTATGACATAATAATATTAGAAAAGCACACAGAAAATGGATATTTTTTCCCTTATATGTTTATTTTCACTCTACATGTGGAGGATGTCCTATTGTCCCCCTGGCTGGGTGAATCCATAAGAGCAACTAGCAAACAGAAATGACTGGTGACTTGGTAGGTTCTTTTAATAATCCCAGTCCTACAAATAAGCATAGGACTGAAGCTGGGACATAGTAAGGAAGCCAATGGGGGATGCAAAATTTTGAAACAAGAAAAAAACAGACTTTTCCTACCATGGCAGGAAGCTAAACAGAGGTTAAGGGGCTTCCAGGGTGGATCCTTCAACTGTAGAGGCTCCAAATCCTTAAGTGAAAGCAAGCAAGCCACTGCCATAGCCCAGCGAATAAAAAAGCTAAAAGCACTTGTTTCTGAAAACTGCAAAAGTATGACAACAAAAGGAGAGATCAGAGTACCAGTCTGTATCTCAGAGAGCGATTATGGGGCTACAGAAGGCAAAGCTTTCCACATTCAAGGAATTGCTTTCCACATTCAAGGAATTCTTGCCTAGGAGGCAGAATGACTATGTAAATAGGAGAACCTAATCAGGACCAAAGAGGATGAATACAGGGCTTATATGTAGAATTAAAGGTTCAAAAGTTCCAACAATGTCAACAAGAAACTATCAGTCTACCTTGCTTCAGATAATCAATCAGTGTTCTGAAAACATATCTCCAGCTATGTTGCATACATGTGTTGGGTTCATACAGATATGTATTTGGGGATTGGTGTTAACTGATCATCCCTTTAGCTTCTAAAATGTTCCAGGAAAGGCTGTCTGGAAGAACTACTACACTCAACTCGACCTTTGAATAAAGGAGCACTAGTAAATCTAAGAAGCAGATTAACATCAACAATTGCTGACTCTCCAAGCCAGAGGACACACACACACATGCACACACCCACACTCACACGTGCACACATGCATAGGAAAACCAGGAGATCTGGGGCCAAGTCAGTACTCACAGGAGAGAGATTAAGCATATGAAAAGTGAACTTACAAAAAGCCAGTCCCTAGGAAACGTACCAAAACTGTAAGTGTCCCTGGCCCTTCAAGAATACAGCCTCAAAGAGGTGCATCTAAAGGTTCAACTCTACAAAACTGCAGACCATTGAATAAAGCCCACAGTTGGGGACACGGAGCATCCTGATTAGGAACACCCAGCTGGGTGATCAGGCAAGTCACTTAAAACTGGTGTTATCGGGGTCTCCCCGGGAGTGCAGAAGTTGAAGACAGTGCTATGGAGCTACTGCCAGCCACTGCAGCACGAGTTCCATCCCCGGCCTGCAAGGGAGCAATACATATGGTGCAGCAGACCTCTCCTGTCTCGCCCACTGCTCCCCTGAGCAGTGTATTTCAGTGGATCTTCCTGTTCTGTTCCCCACTCTGTCTCTGGTGAATCCTCTCACCCCACCCCCCACTCTGGCTTACACCCCAGTTCTTGTATGCATAAATAAATATTTAAAAAAAAACTGGTATTATCCTGCATGGGTAACAACACCCACTTTGGAGGGCTATTTTGAAATTAAATGAGATATATGTTATGAACTGTGTGTTTGTTCCCAGAAATTCTTATGTTGAAACCCATCCCTTCAATGGGATGATATTAGGAAGTGGGACACTGGGTGGTAATTAAGTTTAGATGAGGTCACCAGAGTAGAGCCCCCATGATAAGATTAGTCTTTATAAGAGAAAAACTAGAGTTTGCTCTCGCCACCACATGAGGCTATAATTAGAACATGGCTGTCTGGGAGCCAGGCAAAGGGTTCTCACCAGATAACTCTGCCCACACCCTGATCCAGGACTTCTGGGCTTCCAGAGTTATGAGAAACAAACTTCTGTTGTTTAAGCTACCCAATCTGTAGTATCTTGTTATAGAAGTGTGACTAAGACAGCATATAAAGCTTTTTGCATGTTGCCTGTTATATAGTAAATGTTCATAAAAATAAGAATTAGATATATATAAGAATATAGGTAAGCAAAAATGAATAAATGAAGCTACTGACTAGGCAAGTCTGGATTTGAATGAGGTTCAGAAAAGATTTCACTTACACTGCTAATCTATTCCACCAGGAAAACAGCTGGGAAGATGAACTGGGATGGACACACTTTTCAAATATACTTATTTGCAGTTTTTATTTTGAAGAAGCGGAAGCAGCAGCTGCCACTGTCCCCACAACAAGCCAGGCAGTTGACAAGTGTCGGTGGAGCCTGCTGAAGGCTCCCATCAAGGGAACAGTGACTCTCCAGCCAGTTTCATGTGGGAAATCAGGAGGACAGATTTTCTTAGGCGATTTTCTCATTCATTCTGGTTTCTGCTTGGATAGAAAGGGTACGTAAGCTGTTTGTCTCAAAT